TTGTGTTCCCTCTCTCGCTGTGTCTCTCTCTGTCAAATAAATAAATAAAATCTTTAAAAAAAAAAAAAATCACCTCTGCTGGAACCCGACTGGGGGGCAAAGTCAGCGAACCCTGCTCTCCTCCCGAGACCAGTGCCAGCCTGCTGTTGTGGACCGTACAGGGCATCCTCCTCGTGCCACAACGCACAGTGAGCATCATGAAACCCTGGCTTTTCTGGGGTCGCAGCAGGAAGCCTTTGAGGGAGGTTGGAAGTCCCAGCCGGCCACCACCTGCCTTGCCCCCCTTTCCCCGAGTCCCCTCAATTGTGGGAGGAAGCCCAGGCATAAATGAAGAGAAAGCCTCTTCTAGCCAGAGCTTCATCTTCTCTGAAGCTATTTCGGACAACATCTGTCCACCGTGAACCCTTCCTTCCTTGAATTATTTTTTAAGATTGATTGATTGAGCGTGTGAGCAGAGGGAGGGGCAGAGGGAGAGGGAGAATGTCCAGCAGACTCCCCGCTGAGCGCGGAGCCCAACACTGAGCAGGATCCTGAGATCATGACCTAAGCCGAAACCAAGAGTCAGTCGCTTAACCGACCGAGCCACCCAGGCGCCCCTCCTTGAACTCTTAATTATGCTTTCCTTTCTGCTGACATTCACTCGTACACTGAGATTAGCTCATTTTCCATTGCTAGGTCTCGTTCTCCCAGACTGCCTATCACAAAGCCTTGCACCCTAGGCTGCTGAATAGCTTTTGAATTAATTTTGAATTAATTTTCTGAAACACAAACCAAAAAAATGGACAGGGCGATCCCCAGCTCCAGATCATGGGCTTTGCCACTCAGAGGAGTCCACTGGGGCTGGCGTGCTTCCTGAACAGAACAGAAGCTTGTTCAAATGGTACCTTCCACCTAAGATGCTTCTACAGAATATAAATGATTTCATTGTGACTTTAAGTTTATTGGAAACAGCCTTGGGCCGAACAACCCCCAGGACGTGCCAGGTGTATTTCTGTGACAGGGACCCTTTGTCTTGACTATTGTTCAGGGAAGTCTCATTAAGCCCCTGGCTGGAAACAGAAACAATGGAACGTGTAGAAAGCTGCAATCACGGAGATGTTCAAAGATAAAAATAAACCCCCACGGGCCTTTTGTGTCAAACTCTGGCCTGAGGCTGGTCTGACCCCAAACTGGTTTTTTTAGAGACTGAAAGATGAAAGAGTAGATGCCGGTTCGTACCTCACTCCTTCGGTGCTTTTGGGAAAGGCTGTTAAATCTTCCCTTTGGGAAAGGAAATAATTCCAACTCTCACAGAAAGAAAGCACGTATTAAATAAAATGGGTGTGTGAAACCAACTGCGCAGTGTGGGCACCAAACAATTACCTTAATAAATATCATCTATCTGCCCCCCCGAGAAAATAGAAGAAAGAAAGAAAGTGCGAGTGTCCCTTGCAGCTGTGTGGCCGAGGCTGGGAGGGCATCACAGCAGGGATTCCAGGGAGCACGACGGGCGCACCCGTGAGGATCCAGGCCCAGTGCAGACGGGGGAATAAGGCGCATGATGGAAGGAAGCAGCCTCACAGGATCTAGAACTCCTTGCCGAGTACAGACGTGCAAGAGAAAGACAAGTGACGTGCATTCCTGTCTTAGAAGCCCGGCAGGCCTCCAGCCAGGTGTTCGGGCACTTGTCTTAAATCACGGTGATCGTCCTGGATTAACTTCCCCCTTGAGAATCTGCTTTCTAAGGCCACAGGGTCCTTTTTCAGCAGCTCCTCGTTTACAAAGACAAACAGGAAACGCGTGGCCAGGAGGATGATGACTTTCAAGGTGGAAAAGGGCAGGGTGGTGCCCACGTCCTTAGTTCACGCAGAGTCGGGATGGCCGGGCTTCAGAACTCAGACAGACAGACAGACAGGATGTTTCTCCAGGGACCAGAGCAGGGTCAACAGCCTTGTGTTCCATGAAGACAACTCCCATTCCTGTAGCTTCATCAAACAGGGCAGTGATCACCGCAGAAACTATACCTTCTGTCAGCCTGTTTCCAATACTTTCCCCCAAAACTCTTCAAGGAGACTGGATAACACAGAATAAAACTGACATTTCCCTTCTGTTCCCCTTCAGGAAAAGCTATAAGGAGTGGCAAACTGCAGACCAGATACTAGATGATACAACCTAATTTAAAAATCAGTTTTCCCCCTAAAATTGGAACATGGTAAAATACAAAACTATATATATAAAATATAGACAAAGACTATACATATATATATAATATAATTTCATACATATATTGTATACATATGTAGTGCACGTATATGAAAACTTTAAGGCCCTAAGGACTTTGTAGTGCTTGAGACATCCTTCTAAACATCTCTTACCACCATACAAGGTCACAGAACACACTTGTTTGGATCTAAGCTAAAGAAGATTAATCTTGCCAAACTGATTTATTAAACTTGCCTTGGATAAGAAAGTGAAACCTCCAGGATGGCAAAAGGGTAATATCTTCCCACGATTTGTTCAGCTACACATGGTTTTACTGTACATTTAGTAATTTATAGTTAATAAAGGAACAACAGACTTCTCAAAAAAAAAAAAAAAAAAACCCCAAGAGAAACAATCTATCTAATATTTTAAAAAGGTGACCTTTAAGTTACGACCTATTACCTTCTTTAAGATTCCATCTCAAATAGGCACTTACTTTCTTCCTGACAATCTGTAGGCCCATCCTGAGGACAACAGGCAAACTTTCAACTTAGCCCACTGTTAGGGACCCTTCCTCCTTCAGCTTGGCAGCCCTGAGAAGTTGGCCCTTCTCGGCCTCAGGAGCTAAGCTGACTGCTCTGATGTGGCCCCCGGGAGGGACACTTCCCCCGACCAATGCTTTGATGTCACAGAGGTAGGGAAGCAGGGGCAAGCTGGACAACCGAACTCCTGACAAGGTAAAGCAGGGATCTGTGGCAACCCTCCTTTATTTTAGTTAGATCTTAATGGCTTAATACTATTTTTGGAAGAGGTGGACACAGTGGTCCTTGCTGTATAAGACAGATATATATAAATACATAGGACACATGACTTGATTTGCTTTGACAGTCACTAACCACAATGATTTTAACAGATTATTTCTGCTACTTAACAGAGTTTTAAAAACCTATGTACAGGGGCACCTGGGTGGCACAATTAGTTAAGCATCTGACTCTAGGTTTTGGCTCAGGTCATGATCTCAGGGTCATGAGGTGGAGCCCGGTGTCAGGTCCGCACTGAGCATGGAGTCTGCTTAAGATTCTTTCTCCCTCTCCCTTTGCCCTTCCCCACCGCATGCACACTTTCTCTCAAATAAATAAATCTTAAAAAAAAAAAAAAAAAGCCCATGTACAAATAAACTCTTCTAAAACTAAAGTCAGAATGTCATCACTTTGGCAAGATGCCCTTTCTCCTAATATGGGTGAAGAAGGAAAATGTGGAACCGAAAAGAAGTGTCCTTCACATCTGGCCTTAAAGCTCCAGAAAAAAACAGGTGCTTTGCTCCCAGCAGGAACTTAGCACATGCAGAGACACTGGGGTACAGAGCGTTTGGGAAACACTCAGCACAGGGCATGCTTGCGAGAAGGTGGTCATATGGGGCTGGGAACTTCCATTCTGTCAGATGGCTCAGAGTGTGTGTTTTTCTGCCCTGAAGGTGACAGAAGCTGACCAAAGTAACTGTGCCCCCACCATTCCGTTTCCCTGTCTGGCCCCTGCCTCTGTTTATCCTTCCTATTCCACTAACAGCCCCTGCTGTGTGCACTACATGTTTACATCCCCCCAGATTCATATATGTTGAAGCCGAATCCCCCAGGCCCCCTGTGATGATATCTGAAGTGGGGTTTTTGGGAGGTGGTTAGGTTCCCATGAGGTCAGGAGATGGGTAGGTACCCCATGATGGGATTAGTGTCCTTATACAATGAGGGGGAGACACCAATTTCTCTCTCTGCCATGTGGGGACATAGAGGACATAGTGAGAAGGTGGCCATCTGTAAACCAAGAGGAGGGTTCTCTTGTCTCTCTTGGCCCTGGGGTCAAATGCCAAGAACCAAATCTGCTGGCACCCTAATCTTGGGCTACCATTTATTCTTCCAGAGCTGCGAGGAATAAATGCCTGTTTTTCAGCTCCCACTCTCTGGTGTTCTGTTACAGCAGACTGAGCCAAGACGGTCCCCACAGACAAAACCTAAGATCCTAAGACCCCATCCACCTGAGCTGAATCCTAAGCCTGAGCTGACCTTCTGCTCCCCAGAACTCCTTCTGGTACCACTGCACTTGATGAGTTCATACTTTCATAAGCACAGAAAAACATCTAATAATGTTATTTCTGTTTCCCAGGCACATTCTCTAAGCTCTTTAGGAAATGGCTAGGGTGTTTCCCACTGCAAGTCTGAACCTCAAAGCCAAGCTCAAGGCTGTACTCACGTCCAGAGACTCGAGGCAGTACCAGCAGAAGGCGTGTTTGCAGTTCTTACACATCATCTGGGCGCACCCTTCGTCCCGCTCGATGTAGACCTTGCACTTGGGGCAGCGCTTGATGGGCGCGTCGTCCTCCTCCAGTTTGAAAGCAGAGCTGCAGGAGAGATTCCATCATCGCAAGGCTCAGCGGGACCCCGCGGGGGGGGGGGCGGGGGGAGGGGCCCTGTCAGCACCAGCAAGGCTAAAACCATTAGTGCAACTATAAGGGGCCAAGGCCACTTGTTATTCAATGTTATAAAATGAAACTAAGACTCCATAAAACAATCGCCAAAAAAACCTGTGGATCAGCCAGTTGGATTTAAGGGGAAAAAAGCAATATTGGTATGTATTTAAGTTTAGATATGTGTAGACAAAAGAAATTATGACAAAAGCTTATAAAGAAGGTGTCTGCGTAATGGGGTGATGGTCAAATCTTATGTCTTCGTTCATATATTTGTATAATTTCCAAAGGATCGATGATAATTTTTATGCACTTTGCTATTGTCAGAAAAAAATAAATGTTACAAAAACATGCTCATCGATCAGTTAGATCTACTGGGCCTGTCTTTACAGAATCACTTTCCTGAAAAGTCTGGCTTGCAGCGGTTGGCGTGATGGGCTGTTAGCCTGGGGTCACGTGCTGGTGCTATGCAGACTGGCCGTGTCTGGGCCTCAGGCCTCTCAGGGCGAGCATGCTGGAAGATCACACACGACAACAGCACACCGCAGCATCGAGCACGGGTGAAGCTGGCCGATAAATGACAGCAATCATTCTATGCTGCTAATAAAGAGATGACATAGATATTTTGGTGTGACTCCGGAAGAATGTCCATCCTATGCCATTAAATTTAAAAAGAAAGCTAAAAAATATGTGCATGAGAACATGTGGATGAAAAAATGGTAAACTGCTACAAGCAGTTATCACTATAGGAACACATTTGCTGTATTATCTGAACTCACTGCATCAGTCCAACATCACCAGGAGAAAAATGATCTCCCACTGGAGTGAGCAGCCCTTCTAGAACCTAATGCATTCATGAGCATACATGCACTGAAAGCGAGCAAATTCTGGCATTTGGAGTGCGTTCTGGTGGAAGGATCTTCTACAAGCATCATGGTAAATATAACGATTAAAATCGTTTGACTTTAGTATGAGCTATCTGATAATGAGGGGAGGTGCCTCCTCAGTGAGGCGTGGGCTCCAGCTGAATGCGGTCCTGGGCTGTTCACCAGGAGGTGGTGACCAGTGAGGACATGGCGGCAGGAGGCAGAGTGTCCTCGCGCGAGGAGCATGGGGTCCAGAGACAGACAAGCCCCAGCCGTGCAGCTCGGGTATCAGCAGCGTGCAGTGTGCCCATCCCATCCGCTGCTCGGAGTGCACCTCAGGGTGCAGCGAAGCTTGAACGGGTTTCCGTGCACGTGGTACACAACCCAGAACCTGGCAGGGGGGCAGTAAGCACTCAGCAAGTGGCAGTTATTGCAGTCTCTCTGAAGGGCACACTCTCCCCTGCTCCAATTCTTGTCTAATGTGAAGGCAAAACACACAGCAAGCTCGCTGCACAGGACACGACTCCGAATGAGCCAGGGCAGTCACACTCAAGTACCCCCAGCGGACCCCGGGAACACAGTCAGCTCCGCACCATCACAAGCTGTGCCCTCCTGCAGATTGCTGCAAAGAGCCCCCAGTCACGAGGCACCAAATCCAGTGACTGAGGGTGGCTATCGGGTTAGATAACATTGTTTCAGTTTGAAAGCCAGTTGTGACCTTAAAGTAATGGAACTAATTTCCTCATGTGATTCATAAGCTCATTTCGAAGGAAATTCCATGAACGGGGGCAGTGTATCGGTGGGGAATGAAGACCATCTCTTCTCAGGGAGACGTTAAAATGGGAACAGTTCAAATATTTAAGTGCTGGTGTGGTGCGGCGTGCCTAGAAATTCACATGGTATGGACGACAGTTTTCAAACATCTCCCGGCATCTGAATTATATTTCAAATTATTATTAATAACAGCCCTTACTATAAACTCAAATTTATGAAAGTAGATAAGGCGTCTTTGACCACTTCAAGACCTTCACGGGGCAGACACATCGTAGTGACTGAAGCTGGTCAGGTGGTGGTTGGGAGCATGGCTTAAGGGAAGATGGAACGTAAGACAACCCTACTACATGGAAATAGGAGGTAAGCGATTCATCCCGGCATCTGAGTGCTGGCTGGATGCCAAGATCTGGGTGACAAAGCTCAAGCAGGCCCAGGCCGTGATGTGGGGAGCTCAGCCTACTGGAGGAATCGGCCGCACACGCAGATGACCTCCAGCGCAGTGTGGCTGGTGTTGTGACCAATACAGACCATCTCCAGCGAGGGGCCCAGACGGTGGGGTCAGCAGCTCTGCCCTGGGATCGGGGTAGCCTGACGAAGGACGGACGTGAGCCTTGTATTTGAGGGCGGCAAGGAGTCTCCAGGGAAAGGAGGGTGGTGAGGGGCAGGCACAGGCTCAAACGTGCAGACTCGGGAGAGGAAGGATGGGCCAAGAGGCTCTCTGCGCAGGGGGAGCTGCAGGGAGTGGGAGCAGGGCAGCAGAATGGGGAGAGGAAAACAGGGAGCAGCTGGTGACCACACCTCTGGGTGGCCGGTGGGAGTCCCTCGATCAAGAACGCGGCTGCAACAGGCGCAGGGCCAACACCATCTTGGGGAACCCATCTGTGCTACAGACTTTATAGGACATAAATGGCTGAATATTACCAATTCCTTCTGATTCATCCTACTTAACTTTAAGGTACATACACTGATGCTGCAGTGTCCACCTGGGCATCGGCCTGAGGGTCGGACCAGGGGACGAGAGGGCAGAGACGCAGCCATGTTTCCCCCGCTCTTCTAGGGAAGCGCAGGCTCTTGCTCTCAGGCACCTGGAAACCTGTTTTTGGCGATCCCTTTGGTATTTGTAGCTACTGCCCACCTACTCTTGTCCCTGTCCCCGTCTCAGATCACCTTCCACACCATGGAGTCTTGGAAAACTCTAGGTACGACGTGACTTCAAACTCCTGACGGTAATAGGCCATCCATCGGTTTGTCTTTCCGGACAGGCCGAGTGCAGTCAGCTTCCTGTGCACCATTAAAACGCGACTGCTTTGCACAGTACCTGACACATCATCAGTTCTCAAAAATAATCAACCCACCCACCCGCCTGCCCAGGTTTAAATGAGGCTCAAGAGGAAGAGACTGATCCAGAAGCAGTCATGTCTCCGGAGACACATTCAAGGAGCAGCGGCCTCCTTCTCTTCCTCCTCTCCAGCCCTCCGCCCACGCCTTCCGCCGGAGCTGTGCGGAGGGTACCTGGTCTCTCCGGGAAGGAAGGTGATCGGCAAGGTCTCCGGGCAGCCTTGGCCAGGGTGCCAGCTGGCTTTGCAGGCGGAGCAGAATTCCATGTCACAGGATTTGCACTGCACCAGCTGCGGGGTCTGCAGCCCCATCTCCTGAAGCTGGCACACGGCCTGGCAGGCGGAAGCCGGGCACCAAGTCCGACAGGGGTCCAGGAGCACCTCTAGCACAGGGAGACAAAAATGGGCAAGTCAACGTCTGCACACGAAGGATCTCATGGGGTGTTCGGACTGAGGGATCACATCAGCGCGTGGCTTCACATTTTTAACACTCTTTCTATGTCCTTCACGACCTGGTGCCTGTCTGGCTCTTCCTCCTCCCCTCCTCTCACTCCCCATTTCCGATCCCACCCAAAACACACCCAGTGTCCTTTAGAGATGCTGCTGCCTGCACCCAGAATGCTGGTGGCTCCCAGGAAGCACCCCCCCACCCCTGACGGCCGGTCTGGGTTCGCTGTGAGTGCCCACAGGCCATGGTCCAGGTGCGCCTTCTGCTTCTTTGTTCACCTCCCCAGAGCGCAGCATCCTGAAGTCAGGCCCACGTCTTCAGTCTTGCTGCCTCACAGTCTGGCCCAGTGCAAGGCACACAGCGGGTCCTCGGACAACGTTTGGTAAGGAGGATGGAAAGAAAGGAGGGAAGGAATGTGGCCAAATTCTTCTCATCAAATGACTCATTTGCCTAAGGCTGTTCCCCCTCCCAAATTTAAACCTAAGCCATGAATTAACTCCTGTGTGAAATGGCCAGGTTGCCTCTCCAAGTGGAGGCCAAGCTGCTAAGAAGCCCCATTATAGGAAGTTAGTGATGGAGTTTATTTTGAAAAACAGGATACCCTCCCGTTTCCACTCCTGATTAGTAGTCCCGAGCTGCCCTTCTTCGTGAACCCGATTAATCGTTTCATTCACCGCCTGTCCGGGGTGACACTGAATCCTCAGCGAGGGGCAGTGGCAGGGAGAACCTGACGGGAAACGACACAATGCTGAGGCTCTGCCAAAAAGCTATCACAGGCCAAAGGATTGGGGTCATTTTCAAAGGCCTTCAAGTAGGCCACTGGTTTCGAAGCTTTTCAGCCGTGGCTATGGGGAAGGAACCGGAGACCACTGGATTCTGCCAGGAAAACTTGGAAGGCAATGAAAGGGACTTGTGAGCTTCCTGGCCATGTGACCGACCAACAGCCAGGGGTGGGTTAAGTTCACCTGCGTCGAAAACAGGATTTGCACGCACTGGGATCTACCACTGCCTGGGGGCTGGATGTGGGCTGGACGTGCGCCCAGACGTCACCTACACGGGCTGCCACAAAACACACGTAGGTGTGCCATGTTCCCCAATTAAATGGGAAGCCAGATTCAACCCTCTAGGAATAAGCTGTGTCAGGTACAGCCCTGAAAACAGTCTTCTATTCCAGGAACGAGAAAGCATTTTCTGCAAAGGAGCAGACAGTGAGTATATTTTAGTCTCTGAGAGTCATGCGGTCTGTCTCCACCGACTCAGCTCTGCTACTGTAGCACAAAAGCAGCCATGCTGATCCGTAAATGAGTGTCCCAATAAAACTTTATTTACAATGCCAAGCCATGGGCCGGCCGGCCCACTCTGGGCCCACTGGCCAAAGCTGACCCACTCCTGCTCTAATCTAACTCCTCCTCGACCTGTTGTTTGGAAGGGAGAATTAATCAATGGCAGGAAACTATCAAACTGGTAGGTCTAGGGAAGATTTAGTAGAACCTGCTAATATAAAGGATCTCTGGAATCCAGGAAAATGTGCTCCTTTTTAACTGACCTTCGTTACAGTAATGTAAAACCTTCATGATGTTCCTAATGGTGAGTGAATGAGGAGAATTAGCTCTTGTCATTAGCTGAGTTTCAGGGTCTGCTTTTCTAGGAATGTTTGCGGCCATCAGATCTGGGGGTGGCTGTGGGGTAACGAAGTGGTTGCCCCCGAGGCACATGTGTGGGGAGCTCACCTGAGCCTAGGGGACAGGAGAAAGGAGGAGGGAGAGAAGCCCTCCATGGAGGTCCCCACCCTGGGGAATGAAAGCGAGGCAGGTGACCCCGCTGCACTCCCCTCCCTGGTCTGATTCACCTCCTCATCACGGTCCCCACACGGCTCCCTGTATTCGGTGCTAATGAGTGCTCTGGGGGAGCCCAGCCTCGCCCCAGCTAGATTTTGGGGTCCCCTATGAGCACAGCACCTACGAAGGGCAATGCAGGGTGCAGGCACTTAGCACGCTAACCACCACACAACACGGGGAGAGAGGTCCTCAGCCTGCTCTGTTCTCTTCCATCTCGACGCCGTGGTCAGTGCTGGTCTGTCTGAGAGCGTTGGCAAGCACGCTGCCCTTACACGGACCTTGCGGGATCCCCCTGCTCCGGGCCCCGGCCTCTACCGTGAGGAGTCTGCGGCGTCAGGGCGGGCGGCACTCACTCCCGCACCTCGTGGCCACGACCCACCTCCCACTCCCTCTCCTGGCACAGCGAAGGCAGCTACTAGGCTGCCTCATCGGCAGAGGCCCAGTTATATTAAGGAGCGCAGGGCAAGGAGACCTAGTTAAGGTTTCCATGGTAATGACTTAAATTTTGTGACTTTTGTCCTCGTGGAGCTGTGACAGGAACTGCCTGTCCCCGGGGGAGAGATTTCCTATCAGAGCGGAAAAGGGCAAAGAATCTGTCCCAACCGGCCGAAGGCGAACACCGTTCCCCTGAGGCCAGGACACCTCAAACCCTGCGAATACAGCCCCCGGGGCTCTTCCTGTGGACTTGTACTAACATTCCCATCATCACTCCCATGCCGAATTCCGCCAGCTGGCGTACAAGACAGGAAACGATCAGTAAGAAAATCCACACTGGGGAGCACCAGGGAGCTCTTCTTTTCGGGAAGCATGTAAGTACAGACATCTAGGGCTATGGATCACATATATACCTAACGATATATATTAGGCACGTTGTATCTTCGATACATTGTATCTAATGTCTTACGTAGACACGTCTGGGTAGAGCATAGGTCTTCAAACAAGGCCAGCAGCCTATTTTCTGGCACACCTTAGAAACTAATCTCATCTTCCATCTCCCCAAGACACATTAGTCATAGATAAAGGAAGCAGGTCCCTAATAACTCTGCTTATAAAAAGGCCCAAGACTTTTTAAAAAGGTGCTTTTCTTTTTAAAGTGGTTTTCTTGGCGAAGCGTGCTAAGAGAGGTGGGGTTCTGACTCTCACTACGCAGCTGACCAGGCCTGCGCTCCAGCCGCAGCAGCCCCGTGGCAGCGCATCCCGCCCTGTGGGGACTCCTCGGCCCCAGTCAGGCCTGCTTACGGATGGAGCAGCTCAGCAAGTGAGTTCATCTCTCTGGGCTTTACTCTCGAGGAAAGCACCGACACCACGCAGGACAAGCCCTGACGTCAGCATTCCTCAGACCTGCTGTCCCAAGGATAAAGAGCCCAGGAGGCTGCAGGCCCCGCCTCTGGATGGCAGGAGCTTCAGGAGTGAGGAACAGGGAAAAAACACCTGCAGCCTGTCAGGGTGACTGCTCAGCCAAGAGCACAGGCGAAGCCTGGTGGGGCGTGCGAGGGAGTGAGCCCCCTGCAGAGCCTGCCCCCAGAGGCCTCTGGAGTCTGCCACAGGGGCAGGTGGGCACTCGGAAAGAAAAACAAGCCCACAGCTTCCTTGCCAAAGATGCCAACTGGAGGAGTGGGGGAGAGGAGATGAAAATCAAGCTTGCAATACCTGAAACTAATATAACATTGTGTGTCAACCGTACTCCCAATTTAAAAAAGATCAAGGCTGTTACATGAGAGGAGACATGCTAAGACCCAACGGAGACAATGTTTGCAACTTAAACCGATTAGGAACTAAGTGTTGTCAGAGGACCTGGGAGCTGGGTTCTCTTCCCCGGGGCGGCCTCCCTGACTGCATTTCAAAACCAGAAAAGACCGAAACTCGCCTTCTGATCACATCTCAAAACTTGTTTGATGTACTTGCTAGAAGCAATTGCTTTACTTTAGCTCCAACATTTTAACATTTCATTCAGACAGGTCTTTGGTCATATTAAGTCTGAGTTCATTTTGTGTTTTTCTTGCTTTTCACATAGTGCTAGCAAAATGTTCTCAAGTAATAGGCTTGAGAGATTTTGTTCACCTAACTCAAGTTGGCTTCATTTTTATGCAAAGTTTAAAAAAAAAAAAATCCCTGGCTGAGCCAAAGCACTTGAAATTACAAAATATTTGAAAGCACAAAGTTGAAATTATTAGGTAGGAAAATTTATCCAGCTGCATTTTTAAATGAAATTCAAGGTCAGAGAAAGTTAATTTTCTTATAACCCAAATAACTACCAGTTTCTGTCTAGATTCTCTCTGGAAAATATCTTCAGAAGAGCCTGAAAGTCTCAGAAATCCAAATTAATCAATTTTATAGCTCTACATGCTGACTTCTGTATCACATGGTATTACATTTAAACTATAAACCACCCCAAACCAAATGATATATGCCATTTAAATAAAAAAGCTCTTGAAAACAATTTCAATGTCATCAGAATCCTGTTTCATTTTTTTAAGTTGGCCACACACTGCCTTTTTTTTTAGAAGTAAGCCTCAAGAGGAAATGCAACTATCTTTAGCATTTCTTAAAAAAAAAAGGAAGGAAAGAAAGACCTTTGCACATTCAGCTAAGCTAGGAATCTCCTGATCCTTTCCTCTGCTCTATTCTGCGTTCTTCCCATCTTGAGTGTTTTCCTGTAAACGTGCAGCCCAGGGCTGCATCTCAGTAATGAGCGTCTGATGCAGAGGAGGCAGGGAGCGGGGAGAGCGCACTTGAACGATTACAGTCTGAGCTGAAAAGGTCAGAGTTTGGATGTGGTGTCTTCACAGTAAAATTGTGCCTAAGGAGCATCATCTAAACATGTCTGTTATTATGCTCCTTTTCAGGTGAGCCCAAAGTCCAGGATATACATGAGAATGAAGCCATATGGAAGCCACTGACTCTTTAAAACATCATTTTATGACCTTGGCACACTTCAGAGAGCCAAGCCAAAGACCAGTCCTGGGCATCCAACACGTTTCAATGCTTGGCAAGGCCACCTTGAAAATGTCACCTCCGCTCCGCCCATGCCACACAGTGCTCCTGGGGAACCCTGAGGTCTGTGGCAGGCCTGGCTCCCGCCAAGAGGGTGTGCAGGACACCCTGGAGGTGGGGGCAGATCTGGTCCCCACTGCTACCACCACCCACAAGAGCTGGAAGTGTGGGCAAATTGGTCCACCTCTGTGGGGGCCACGTTAACAGAAGGGGACAAGCTTGCAGGGCCTTCGGGATCCTTACTGAGACAAGGGACTCGGGACCCGGCGCCCACGCGTCCAGACGCGCCCCAGGTGCAAATAAATGCACAGGGAACACTCTCCTGTCAGGATGCCGGTCATTACACTTTCACCCACGCGTGGCCTCCCAACTTCCTTCTGCCCCTTTGGATCTTTTAAATTCTGCACCGTCTAAGAATTTAGTCCCCAAACTATTAGCCATAATCCGGCTGCAGAATAATCATGCCCCATGAGGGTCAGATCGCTTTAAACCACTCCCTAAACCCAAATCCCTGCAAACGAGTTGTGTTTCAGGATTCCTTCTTATTGCCACATGGAACCCCAACAAAGGCCTTCCACCTGGGAGCTCTGCAGAGAACTCAAAATGACCACGACATCTCAGAAATCTAATTTACATCGATGCTTTCACTTCCACTGCAGCCAAAGGATGGACAATCCTATCCCCCAAAAGCGCTCCCTGCGACGTGCCTGCCGCTACTCCACCACGGGAATCGTAACCCGCTAACCCGCCTGGGCACCTACCTCTTTCAAATTGTAGCTTTTTGTATCTTTGCATAATTTCAGCAGCGACCATGCACTCAATCTAAGAAGAAAAAAACACAAACAGGAAGTATGACAAGCTGTGGGCTAGAACACAGCCCAGGTCGGCCTCAGCAGAGCCCACGACCCCCAGCGGAGCTACGCAGGGCGCCCGTGCACCCGTTAAAAACCAGATTTGTTCAGATGCTCGTGCCTCGTCCTCCTGCAGATGGCCCTGTTTAGGGCAGGCCGCATCGGGGCAGCTGATCGCAGTTTCTAGTCCTTCTTTGATCAAGAGCTCGACATACTGTTTCAGGCACTGAAAAAAAACAAAGAACAGAGAAGTGTCTGTCAACATGTTTATTCCTTAAGGGCGAACACCCTGAAATACATAATCCAGCACACCGCCTATTTTCACTATTTTCCTATTTTCACTGTGTAGCCCAGAGCGACCACCATAGTTCTGTTCACTCGACGAGTATTCCAGGCCACAGAACGAAGGCTGCAGGTGGGGTCCCTGCACACAAGTTCAGCAAATACCACGCCAGTGCATCTCACAGTAGGAGGAAAGGAGGAGAGGGAGGTCGGGAAGGAGCATTTCTCAAATGCATATCAGACGCCAGGCACTGTACTCAATCCTTCCTATTCCATTGTTTCACGTACGCCTAAGATCATTCTTACAGGAAAGGGAGGACAGTTGCACCTTTCAGGTGTGAACAGAGTCACTGAAGAAGGGGCTCGCCGGCTGAGCCAGACAGCAAGGGCAGAGCCCCGACTCAAGCCCGGCCTGGCTCGACTCGGAAATGCCCCTGCGCTCCCCGAGAACCTGCACAGATGCCAATCCTCACCCCGGACACCCCACTTCCCAGCAGTTACTTACTACAACTGCACCTACTTGAAGGACTGCTCAAAGTCTCGGGTCAGACAGACAAAGTGGGAGACACAGCAGAGTTCTATGGAGGAGGATGAGGTCGTACACAGTACCGATTTACTCCTGCCTCAGTCTACGAGCCTGGGAAGCCCACACTCCCCTGAAGAGCACATTATGAAGCACAATTAGAAAAGACATGGCCTCCCCTGGTAGGCTCACTACCAAAAGTAAAATGAGACAGACTTTGAAACGCTCATAGGAGAACTCAAAGAGCACAGAAACTGTGGCCATTAGGTGGAGAAACCAGCGAAAACCATCTCAACAGCATCCCCGTATCAACCTGCAATCACAGCCCCAGTCCAGTATTTGGGGTTCATGATGCCAACACCACTGTTATATTAGCACTATTAAAAATAATCGTGATTCGGGGCACCTGGGTGGCTCAGTCGGTTAAGCATCTGCCTTTGGTTCAGGTCATGATCTCGGGGTCCTGGGACAGAGTCCCCCATCAGGCTCCCCGCTCAGCAGGGAGCCTGCTTCTCCCTTTCTCTCTGCCTCTCCCCTGCTTGTGCTCTCTCTCTCTCTTACTTGCACAGTCTCTCTCGAATAAATAAAATCTTAAAAAAGAAAAGTAATAGTGATTCATCAAGAAAAGCCCATTAGCTATGTTTCCTAAGCCTCTACCTCCCCTCAAATGTGCACTCCATCGCCCTAGAAGGACCCGCGGTCATTAATAATGGCTGTGCCTAAACTGGAATCCAGCTGCAATTCCCACTAGCTCTATGCCTATGCCTGGAACACGTCTGTTACTCTCCTTCTACCAGCCTCATTTTCCCCACCTGCACTTTGGGGGGCTTTTAACCCACATCACGGTGGAGTTGTAAGAATTTCGTGGAAGAGAATCTAGAAGATGACATGGAAAACTGTATGCCTGATTATATAAATAATAATATGATCTAAATGGGTAATTCTCACCCTTCTAGCACATCAGAATATTTCAAACACTAGAGACACGAGGTAGCCATTTCTTTTAAAAATACAAATTAAGGTAATCCTCAGCGCCATTTCCCACAGCCTTTCTCGAGAGCACCAAACAGAATGCGAGGCTTCATGCGACAACTGCAATGTGGGCGCCCAGAGCCCAGCCCCTAGTCCAGCCTGCATTCCTCGGTCCTGCCCGGGCTCCCCGTGAGTGCAGAGGCCCCCTGAACTTCCGCGATGCATGGGTCACCGACATCTCGCCGGCGCAATGGTTTTGGAGAGTTCCCAGAGAACCAACCGGGTATGGATGAGCCCCGTGCAGGAGGGCTGTCTGCAGTCTCAGAGGTACACTCATCAAAACCCACACCAGAAGGAAGCGAGGCAGCTGAGAGAGAAGGGGGCAGTCACATGGAGCCACCAGCAGGCCTGCCTGCCCCCCGCTCTGGCCATGAGCACCAGCGCAGCTGTCTGGGGGAGACAGCCACGCTATGGTTTGGTGCCTGCCACCCTTGCAACAATGCTGTGCTTCCAGTCGGGAGGAACCTGGAATGTGCTGCATCTGGCTGGGTGACCGGTGAGGAGGGGGGAAGACTGAAGGCAGGGCTAGACAGACCCACGGAAGCGTTGTACACAGAGGCCACGGACGGGCTCCCTGACGAGTTCGGGCCACGGCTCCCTTGACCGTAAAACAGGGATGGCCCCCTGGCTGGGTTTGTGATCGTAAGAAAGAACATAAAAGTACCAGCACAATTGGGGCGCCTGGGTGGTTCAGTCGTTGGGCGTCTGCCTTCGGCTCGGGTCGTGATCCCGGGGTCCTGGGATCGAGCCCCGCTTCGGGCTCCCTGCTCGGCGGGAGGCCTGCTTCTCCCTCTCCCACTCCCCCCTGCTGTGTTCCCTCTCTCACTGTGTCTCTCGCTGTCAAATAAATAGATAAAATCTTTAAAAAAAAAAAAGTACCAGCACAATTTCCGGGGCACAGAACCCGCTCCGCCTCCACTTTGTCTATCTGCACGAAAGGACTCCTAGAGTCAGAGGCACAAAAATGTATCGAAACCTTAGCCGCAAGATGATGATTTTACTTTTTGTCCTCAGTTTGTGCATCTGGGATCTCTGGAGAACACTGCAATGCCGTAAACTCTCAAAGCGCCGTGCAGGGCTGCATACCACGGGGGGGAGACTCTGCGCCCCCGAGAGGCACAGCACAACACTTAGCGCCCGTGGGAAACTCCTAGCAGGGGATCCGTAGGACTCCGAACATCCTTGTTCAAGAACGGGCCGGCAGCAAAACCACCAGTGTGTCACGTCTGGCTGGATCATTCAGAGGCCTCTGCACAATGTGCAAAATGACTATGTTCCGGGAGCATCGATTTGTTTACTATATAAAAAGAGATGAGGATCCAAGTGCCCGGCCAACCATCCATGGAAAACCAGCCCAGTCTTCTTCCAGATACGAAGTGGGTCATGACTCACAAGCCATGTTTTTCAATCTAATAGCAAAAAGAGGTCTTAAAAGGAGCACAAGAGAATGGGCAGAGAAACTTCTGTAAAAATAAATACGTAGTACAAAAAGCAGGGATCGATGGATTTCCTGCTCATGTTGCTTGGAGCTCTCAGCGATCAGTGTCTTCACCTGAGCTGCATTAGCCAACGTCCCAAGCGTCAGGGGAGGTGCCATGGCTCCCAGTTTACAGATGACAAAACAAAGCCTCGGGGAAGCTAAGAACGGGCTCAAAGACATACTCTGCACGTAGAGGAGCTGGGGCTCAAGTGTGCCTGACTCCAAAGAGGGGGGGTTTTGTTTTTAATTTCTGCCTTCTTCCTCAGTTAAGAACTATTTCATATGCAATCATTTATTATGTATTTTCAGTTACCTCCTACTTTTTTTTTTTTTTTACTAGAACACAGAATTGTATGTACTTTTTTTTGTTTGTTTTTTTAAAGTAGGTTTCACGCCCAGCACAGGGCCCAATGCAGGGCTTGAGCTCACGCCCTGAGATCAAGAGCTGAGCTGAAATCAAGAGTCAGACCCTTAACTGACTGAGCCACCCAGGCGCCCCTGTTGTATGTACTTTAAGCTGGCAAAGTCGGAGTCACCCTGGAATGCATCCGTACATGCCCATGATTCTCGGATGCAACAATGGTCCGAGACACCAAGCCCCCACGGCCACTGCGGGGGGGAAAAGACGCTCCTGCAGGTCGGGATAGTGCCCTATTCCTGACGTCCCGGTGGGGAGTGGGGTCCCCCCCACCCCAGCAGAGTCAGTAAGGCTTCCCAGAGGCGACACGCTGGCCAGAGGGACAAGGACATCCCAGGAAAGGGGGCATCCGCTGCACAAAGGGCAGAAGGAGGAAGGGGAGGTGTCAAGAGCCACAGAAATGTTCCAGGCATTTCATTTTCCGTTTTGTTTTCCAACTGTCTGAAACGAAGTTCCAAAGAGGAGACGGCATTGCATATTTGCTCCGAAAGCTCTGCTTCGGTTTCCTGCCAAGGAGAAGTGGGCCACAGAGAGCCAGCGGTCTCGCCTGAGCTACAGCAAGTCTCCATGGTGTCTGTTTTCTCACTTGAAGGCCTGCAGGCTGCTGAAGATCCTGAGAGCGGGAGAACACCGCTCAGAAACTGCTCCGAGGACCCGGCGTAGCTTATGCTCCTCGGGGATCCACTACTTAGGAACAGGCAGGTCCAAGCAACTGCGGTGGGACCCCACTGAACGCCGTTTGAAGAGCAAGGGCCTTGGAAGCACAGACCTGCGTCTGAATCCCGGCTTACCCACCTCCCAGCTGTGCGCAAGGAACCTCACCTCCCAGAGCCCCCGTTCCACGTGTTATGGGAGGAGATAAGCCTGCCACCACCAAGCCCATTCCAGCCAGGAGACCAACCCGAGGTGGCTACGGTCACCTGCTCGGGCAGGCACCACGTGCTTTCCGTGGGCAGCAGCCCGGCAGCCCCCATGGCTACCGCCACCCTGAGTATTAGTGTACTGCTGGCCCTGCAGGCAGGTAGGCACCCAGGGAACGTATACCCCTCTGCAGGCTTGTGATTACAGATGCCCAGTAAGGACGTGGAGCCACAGATCTGGCGTGAAAGTCTCTCTGAAGAGCACCAAGTCGGAAGCCCGCGGGTTTGTCAGCTGCTTGGGGTTTCTAGTTCGATTCAGCTGGTAGGCACGGAGCACCTGCTTTTGTGAGAGGGCGCGCTGGAGCCGAGCCGGGGGCGGCAAGGCTTGGGGGGCCCTCCTTCACCACAATCAAAGCAAAGAGAGAGACTAACCAGCTGTGGGTTAGGTGAGGCCGGCGCTGGGCAGGGGCGTGTTCATTCAGGGCAGGCAGAGCACAGAGTGCCCATTCCCATGTCAGGTCCACACAAAGCACAGCAACCCCAGGAGAAGGGCTGGCTTGACCACGGGTGTGTCAAACGGCGGCCCGTGGGGAGCGGAAAGGCAGGAGGGCGCCCGGGCCGCGTGCAGCAG